AGGAAGTACTGGAAGATAAAATCAGGATTGCTCTTTGATCATTGAATGGCTTTAGAATTCTACACATAAACAGATCTCTTTCTCCCTTATCAAATGTCAGAGACACAGTAATGGCTGCTTGTGAAAATATCTTTTTTCCGGCTCAAACACACATACACAGATCTTCACATGGCACACACGGCCTTTTATTTTCAAGTCTTTTCACAGCTAGATAAATTGGTTCTAATTGTAGTGAGTGGGAGGGAATTTTTTTTTTTTTTTTTTTTTCTGTAGGGAAAGGAATAAAGAAGGGTCATATGGGGGCAAATTAAAACAAGGGTCTGCGTGTCATATGAAGTGCTTGTAATCTGGGGCCACAACTACCTAGCTGCAGGGAAGTACTCTCACATCCACAGTTTACACCATGTTCAAAATAGTTGGGGGGGGGAAAAAAAAAAAAAAAAGTAAAGCATTATCATAACGATTTGCAAGTAAATATGTAAACAAACATGGAAATGTTTTGGGTGATGTTGATATGCATAATGAATATGCTAGTTAGGATGCATTTTAGGACATAATACACATTTTTCACTATATATGTGTATTCATATTTGAGTGAGCATCTTTATCATTCACTACAACCAGTCCTGGGTTGGGGCCTGGCCACGGTGCATTCAAGTCCAGCATGAAGAGTGGCAGGTTGGCTGGGAGAGCAGGGGCACAGCAGCATCGGGAGCTGTGGAGGATGTAAAAGGGGGTAGAAGCCAGAAGCCAGGGATGGGAGTCTCAGAGTAGGTGGTTAAAGTGTCAACGTAACCAATGTTTGAGGTTTTTTTCTCCTTTATTCAATTATCAGCAGCAATTACAAACTGCCATTCATAACCCCAGCAGAAATCTGGAAAATTTGTTTTGATTGAATGGTGGAAGGTCAAGTAGGAAAGCGGGTAAAAGGACTCACAGCTCATCTCTTCTGCATCAGCCCCTGAGATTCAGGCTTACTGCTCACTATTGCCCACTGCCAGGCATGGTAACTAAGAGAAAATCTTGTTTCAGTGAATGAAAAAAACGTTTGGGCTGAAATGTGGTCATAAAAAAAGATGATGATTTACTGTTTTTCTATAAATTTGTGCTTTTCCCATAGGCTAGAAGTTCCCTCACCCCCTCTCAGACTTTCAACAGACACATTTCCCGTGTCTGTTTTGCAATGGAGTGTTTCAAAACTTGATCACAAACTCCATGGTGTGCTGAGCAGCACCCAGTCCTAACATGCCCTAACAGAATGATACAAAAAAGCAAATTGCTAGTCTTTCTCAAGGCAGATTAAACAAATTATTAACTTAAAGTTTTAGATATTTGTTTTAAATGCATATATTTTTTTAACCAGGAAAATGCTTTCTTTTTGTTCAGTTGATTTGACTAGCTAAAACATATACATACAGCTGACTAGACCACTAGAGTCAATAAATTAATCAATGGGAGGAAGTACTTTCACAATTGGTGTCTATATGTAGTTTCATATGCACATACAGCCATACACATGCGTTCTTATTTCTTAGTAAAGGCTCCTAGAAACCCAAAGAGGTTGCATAACATCCTGGTAAAATTTCCTTCATTTACTGACAGCAGTATAATAACATCTTTTTGTTCCTGGGGAAGGCATGCACACCCACAATGCCACTAATCTGAATAAATCTGGCAGATGACATCAGGATCTAGCTCAACACAGAGCCCAGGAGTGGGGCATGGCATAACAGGTCAGCTTAAAAGTGACACTTCTCAGCATGTGCACAGCATGCTGAGGTGCTTATTCCAAATCTACGTACAGAATGAAGTCAGTAGAATTACACCAGGGATGAATTTAGCCTCATAACTTTACTGATCTATTTCCTACAATTCTCTTAAGTATTCAGTTGCTTCCTGCTAATTATTTTTGCATTATTTTATAGAAGGCTAGTGTGTGCCACATGGGGCTTTTGTAAAATGTTCTTTAATCATTGTCACTCAAAGTAATTTAAGTTTCTGAATGAGTTCATACAGTAGTAAAGAAGCTGTTAGAGAAAAGGCTATGGTTCTAGTCTTATGGGTTATTAAAGTGAAGCAAGTACCTGACATACAAATGTCCTCAACAAGATTTAGTTAAAGCTCATGCCAAGCTGAATTTGTTCTTTGTTGAATTAATGAAACTCCCCAGGCACTCCTAAGAGTCTGGCCCAGATGGGTCCAAGTACACATCTGAGGAAAAAAAAAAAAAAAAAAATCACACCGTGAACTAAGTTTGCAAAAGATAGCTTTCATTTTTAAGTCTGACCTCCAAAACTATGTTTCTGTATCTCATATCATTGAATTTCCTATTAGTAGTCAGAATCAAGCATGCATCTTTTCTCCAGGACCCTTCTATTTTTAATTTGTTTCATACTGATGAGAAGTAGGACTGGGGTATTGTGAAAAAATGTAAAAAGATGTTAAGATATGGTCCTGCAATTGCTCCCAGTGTTGGGTAGGTTGTTTTGCCATTAGATTCAACCAAGGTGTCAAACACTAGATCTGAAACAAATAAAATGAGAGAGTGGGACAAAGAAAGAGATTGTCTTTACCTTGCTAATGCCACCCTTGTAAATCATCCAAAAGATATCTTAATTATATATGGCTACTTCTCTGCTTAAATGTAAGTATTGCTTATGTAAATTCTGTATTTAGTTTGAGGCCTGCTATCTTTTCCGTGACCAGGCCAACCACCCCTTGTCATTACAAGTCAGGGTTCTTTTTTATATCTGGTCCAACACAAGTCTCACAGCCACAATGGCAGTTGTAATTGCACAAGGCATTTCAGTAGCTGAGCCATAGCCTGAATAGAGGCCAGCTGATCTCCTAGCTTCTTTTCCAGAGGCTGCATTGCTCTATTTCAAACAGCATCTCTCCACAGGTTATCTGGTGTCGATTTATAATTTACCCCACTAGACACCAGTCCCTTGAGTATTATTTCCCAATCAGATAATTATTCCATTCAGCTCCTCTAAAATATTCTCTGCTGCTTTGAAATAGGAGAGGCTGGGGTGCCTAGCACATAGTCTTTAAGCTCTGTTCGTGCAGCTGAGAGAAATGACTCATACTGCCAATGTGGATTTACTCATTAGGTCTGTTGTGCTAGTAGATGCTCTGGGGAAGCTGATGGTGACCAAACATTTCCTTTTTATCAGTGCAGCTATTTCTCTCTCATCTTGATACAGAGCAGCTCTGGTTGTCGCTGGTATGCACTGCAATCTTATCAGATCTGCCTTCTCTTTCTTTCCTCCTTTGCTCATGAAAAGTTACTCTACTGACTTTTTCAAAGTACATTATCAGTGCTATTTCACAACCCCATCACTTTAATTGCCAAATGCATACAAAACATTTTGGTCTCAAAGGAGATAAAAAATATTCAGAGGTGAAATGAATAACACCCACGTGTTTTCAAAGATCTTCCTGTACAGAGTCTTCATTTTGTCCTTTGATATGGCTTTCAGAATTAATTCCAGTCTTGATCTTTCAAATCATTTGCTGACTAAGATCCACAAAACCTCAAAACAATTGGCAAATTTTACTTTTCAAATCATACCTTTATGCATGTGTGGAGCTGAAAAAACTTTACCACATCTTTCACCCCTTTTTGTCTTCATCTTACAGCAATGAGGAAAAAACTTCCCACTGAGGAAGTCAAGGACTGATTTTGTAATAGGCTCCATATTCACCAAAATAATCTTCTGTCACTGGTGACCCAAAGAAAGCATAGTCTGGCACTAGGGGCTGGCCATGGTGCTCCACATGGAGAGTCTGTGGTGTTCCAGACACCATGTTGCAGACATTAGACAGTTCTTATGCTGCTTCTCTCAGAAATTGCAGGTGTGTGTATTCAGTTCATCAAATTATAAGATATGATTAAATACAATGAGTTCTCTCATGAGTAATTAGTTATGAGTTAATAGTCAATGAGTAATAACTGATCATCAATGCAGTTGTTTTTTCCAGGTTATGTGGGGAACCATTTTGAAGAGCAAAGTAACACTGCTTTGGAATTAAATGTACAGGAATCTCAGTAGCAGCACGTCCCTTTTAGGTAGTGAGTTTAAATAGCAAGGTTGTCTCTGGGTAAGGAGAGAATTGACAAAGTGATGAAGTACTACCTAATTACTTCAGAAAGCTGCCTGGTATTAAGACTTCAGTACATCATATAAGCAAGAAGATAATTTATATCAAACTGAAGGGGTATTAGCATGAGGAAGGATTGAATGTTCCATTTCATAAAAGTGCATCTATGCTTTTGTACAGAAATTAAAAATATCTAGTCTTATGGCAAGTAATATGCTCTACAACAAGACTTCCAAAAGCCAGGCAGCAAACTGGTTGATTTTTTTTCCACTGGAGCAGGAGAAAAATGCTACAGAAAATAATTTAATTTTAATGAGCAGTTTTTAATTTTCTTTCCTTGTCTTTCACCAAGATAGATCCTGGTAGAAGTATAAGGGAGCTCTTTCATGTTCCTTTTTTCTTTTAAATGATCCCAGTGTTCCACAGTGCTTAATCTAGAGAAGCCTCCAGCTTTTATGCAACTAGCCTGTGTTTCCTCCCTCCATGGCTCAGTCATTATACACTGCTTGTAATGCATAGATAAAAGTCTGTCTGTGCAAAGGAAATGTGCCCAGTGTTTGAGTGTCTGTTTTTCTTCTCCATTCTGCCCTTATGCCAATATTATGAAGACTGCAAATGACAATTTTCAATTTAACTACCTGGTTTCATATTTGTCATCAGAGACAGAACATAGCTCTTGTGATATGCACTAGGGAGATATGTAGACATCAGCATTACAGTTTGCTCAATTATCATTCTTCTATAAACAGTTTTTAGGGTCCTTGGGCTACAAATCCATTTGGGCTTTGGAACCTTCCTATGTGAGCAAAGCTGTAGTTGTGATTTTCTGTGGCTGTGCTTTTGGACTCTACGGTATGAACACCAGCCCATAATAAAGACAACAGCACTGTTGCACATAGACTGTCTTAAAACTTTTATTCATAGGTGTCATGGGTTTAGACTAAGCCAGTATAATAGAGAAACTGGAAGACTTAAAATATTGTTAACCAAAAGTTTGGAATTATTTTTCTCACAGTGGAGATACCTTAATAACAAAATGCTTGGCCCCCCACCCCCTTATCACATATTAATTGAAAGAGATTTACTCCAATAAGGCTGTCCCTTTTCTTTTAGCTAGTCACTGTAACAAACAATCACTTCCATAGAATCATAGAAAAGAGGTCTACAATGGACTTTGAGGCTATGTCTTCAGTACTAAGTAACAGAGAGCCAAGGAAGAAGGTTGAACACTGAAGCTCTGACTGTCCACACTGTTTTATTGTTCACTCTCTGCAGCTAGTTTTCTTCAAGACAAATCTGCTATAGAAGGGGCAGGACATGTGACTTTGTCTCAGAACAAGGATTCAGCCCTGAGGCCAATTAGACATAGCCTGAAAGGTTATAGAGCCATCTTTTCTTCTCAAAATAGAAAATATCATCATGCAGTAATTTGTCCTGTTTCTATATGAACCAAATCTAATCAACGAGCTTTGTGGGCTGAAAATTCCAGGGTTGTGCTCTGCCCAACGGCTTCCACTATTTCTGAATTTTGGTTTGCTCCCACTGACATCAACGATTCCTCAGTGTCACAAACCAGCATAAATAACTTGCCGCCACTTGTCCTAAGTCTCAAGTTATAGTATTACAGTAAATCCACAGTAAAATATTCATTTGCACCAGTTACAATATTCTAGTGAGTATACTAGTGTTAGCTTGCATACAGTTTTTATCTGCTAAGAGTAACAGATGCACCTTCTCAAGCCTTAGGACAGAAATCCAGTACTTCCCGATCGAGATAGCCCTAATTGTAAGGGGCTGTAATGCCAGCTCCCTGCATAGATAGCAACCCATATATCTCCACTGGAACAATTAGGAAAATAATTCAATAAAATCATCTCAGAATTCTTCCTGGGCTGTGATCCTTGGAAATCCCTTGGGAATGTAGGAAGTAATTCCTATCAAGAATCCTTCCAAAATGTTTGCAGCCTATGAAGTGTAGCAGAATAAGCCAGACTTAGATGATGATGGAATCAGTACTGCAAGACATCAGTGACACTATTTTCTCAGATAGACCACAGTACCACTCAACATCTTCAGTCAGGCTTTATGAAATTAAATGAGGGCAGAAATTGGCCTTATAATTCTATCGCCTAAGATGGAGAAGGTCCAGTTACGACCAGTACTATTAATATTGTTACCCTCATTCAAGACATCCAGCCACTCAGGGACAAAGCAATTACAATTCATTGCTAAGGTAATACAGATGCCTTCATATAACAACTTGCAAAAGCAAGTATTTTGAACTCTGAAATGGTGCATTTTTTTACTTTTCCCACTTCTTGACTGCTACTCAGGCAGAGGAAAACTGTGGAAAAGTCCATAGCCTGATATTCACTGTTTTTCTTTTCTTGAAAGTAATGGGGATTTTACAGTACTTTGTGGGTTCTGGGCCTAACTTTCAGAAGTGTTAGGTGGTTGTAGCTCCTGTTCTACTCACTGCTGCTCAGCTTATGTTGAAAGTAGGTTTTCAGTCAAATTTGTGCTGTATCAGGCTTCTGAAAAGTTGGGCAGCCATTTTGTTATAAAGAAAAGGACATAATAAATTGGATGTGTGTGTATGGATGTGGATTTTTTGTTTCGTATTTTATTTTATTTTTCCTAATGCAAATAACGTATAGGAATAAAACAAGAGGATAAAACACATGAAACAGGATAACTTTTGGACTAAAATAAATTTGCCCAGTGAATGAGGGAAAGTTTCACTTCTGTCTTCACAGCTGATGGAAGTTCCCAGACCAAGCGAGATCCCTGGACAGGAATTGTACCTGCAGCTGAGCCCCAAGTCCCTTCTGTTTCCATGGTCTGTAAGGCAATGCAAGGAAGAACAGATGTTAACAAGATAAAACCCCGGAGCAGAGAGAGACTTAATCCCCTGTCCCCCTCACTGTCATAGCATCAGTTCCCAGACTCCAGAAAACATTGTTGTTTTCACCAGGTTAGTAGTCTGAACACCAAAAACTACCTTTGTGTTCTTTCTGTAAACTGTGAGACGGTGTTCAACAGCCACTTCCTCCTCCTCTATATTTATCCACAGAAGTCTTGTGGATGTCCCAGGATGCTTCTCAGCTGGTTGTGCAACACTCAAAGCCCCTGTTGTTACAAAAGAGACTCTTTCAGTTCCTCTCAGCAGGCTGCTATGCTCCTTCAAATAAAGAACAGACTTGTCTTGGGTTCCTCTTATTCTTTTTAATGTGCCTTTTCCCTAGAGACGTCTCCCCTCCCCACATTTAAATTTCCTTTCCTCTTTTGCCTGTGTTAATGTTATGCATTATATATTTGGCACAGCTGCGATATATATTTCCTCCCTCCTAACTTAAGCCTGTCTTTTGTTCCTAAATGAAAGCAGACTTCAGAGCACCCGCCCCTTGTGGTCAATCTCCCTGTGCTACACCTGCTTTCACCTCACCCAGAACACAGGGAACCATGAAGAAAACATCTCCAGAAATACCACTGTGTAATTTAGAATACCATTAATAAATTACCCAAGAAAGTATGGCACTGCTAGGAGGTGCCTGCTCATGTAACAGCAAAAAGTATATCTGCCATGAGAGTATATAGGAATGGAATGCTGGTATTTATAATGGATTTTTCTGGATCATATCTTTCTGGTTTGCAAACTATTATTTAGACTATTCTGACATTTTAATTCTTTTTTTTTTCAGCTTGCAGAACATGGACAACATGATGTCCTAATTGTCCTTTTCAAGTCTCCCATCTCTAATATGAGGCAATAATCATTTACAGAACACTTTGTTTAAGAAGTTATTCCCCTCTTCTTTCTCCACCTGTGGGAGGCTGAAGGAAAAAGATGCAAAGTAAGGCTCAAACAAGAAGAATCTGAGGCAATCATGTCAGCCACTCAGCCATGTCTCACCATGATGTCATTGCTTGTCTGACATATATGACACCTTCATCACATTCACCATAACTGGACACATCAGGATCATTACATACATCTGCTGAAAATACTTCTTCAATACCTAAATTCCAAGATTTCTTGCTCATACCATATTGGTTTTTCTTATCCCTTGCCTTCATCAGCTTGCAAAAAAACAAACCGACAATACTTGGTTTTTGTAGACTGCAAATATGTTTACATCTTTGCTGTGGTTATTACAGTGTTTTGCTTTGAAAAATATTATCTGCATTATTACTGAAACTCTTTGCTTTTGAGGACATTCCTACTGCCCTCACTAGTGTGAAGCAGGGCACCACTTTGTTGTTTGCTGGCAGTATATAAAAATTAAACATTTATAACACAAATTGACAGAGCTGTCAATGTGTAAGAGGAAGAGAGTAGGCCCTATTTTCCATCTGGGGAGTTGAGGTGTGAGAAAATTGACTTATCCAAGGTAGAGTTAAAGCCTGACCATATTTTTCTTAAACAGTAAGATGAATGCAGTGGTTTGATTATAGCTTCATAGATAAAGTATATTAGTTTGGCGTGTGTTCTGTGCTTTATTGAGGAGGTAGAAGGCATAAAGGTGCCTTGGGGCTCTACCACCAAAATCCCAACTTCTGGAGGTTAATACTGCATCAGACTGATTTCACTAAAATTACAGGGCCCCAGTAAGGGCACGTGTCCACTCATGCTGCTGGAGCCAGGGCTCAGGGGGACAGCTTAGTCACAGCTCAGCAGGAAACCAGGGTCAGCAGGCAACAAGTCTACAGCACTGCACAGGGATGTGGTAAATGATCTGCAGCAGCTGCAAACTGGAAACTGGAGAAAAATAGTGTAAATACTAGCTTTTCAGAGAATAATTACTTTAAGGTGGAATTTTTTAAGAGGAAAAGATTCAGATTTTGGTTTCCAACTTCTCATGTACCTAGGAGCAGATGAGCAGCACAGCTGACTAGATGGCTTTTCTCAATGTTTATAAGGAAATAAAAATTCATATGGTGTGTTTGATCTTTCCTGTTAGTGTCTTGGTGTCTGTATTGGAGATACCCAAATCTTGCAAGTCTGGAGCCAAATATTATCTGTATGAAATCTTTGTCTCAGTACTACATCCTCCCTTGCAACATCATTCACATGTTGTTCTGATGCCAAATTCTTCAAAACTCTAACTAACATCCCTTTCACTGACTCTCAGCCAAATCAAGTAACTGAATGCTTGCTATGTTTCTTGGATTCAGGTTATAAACTGCCATACAATGCTACCGATTACATTTACTTCAGTTCTCCCACTTCCCCTTACCCTCCCATATGGGCTAAACTTCCCCTCCTTCTCCACTGCCTTCCCTTTCTCCTGGGGGTGAATAACAGCATGCCGCAGCAAAACACAAAAACACCTGTTTTTAAGCATTGTTTGTCACAACTCCTCCCCCAAACTCAATGTACCAAACTCCACATGCTCTATGTAAGGGTTGCAAGGTAAAATCTGGTATCAATTTTGAATGGCTAGTCAGGGATCTAGGCTGGCTTTTTTCCAGTGGGAGGGATGGAGATTCATTATGGGTGAGGTGATTGGCATAAAAACAAATCCTTTCCCTCCAAAAAAAGGCTAAAATTGACCAGATCATATAGCATAGGAGGTGAAGGGAAACGGGGAATAAATCAAAGGACACTGCAGTAAATGACAAGTTTTCCATAGACTAAAAAGCACTCAATCAAGGCTTAAGAGTACAGAACAAGCTCCATTTTTAGAAAAGAAAAAATAAGGTTGGTTTAATGAGACTCAAGATGTAGGAAGTCTTCAGAACTAAAAGAGAAATCAAACAGTCTGATGTTTTCCTGGATTGGACACTACAGCAGTGACAGTCTGGCAGAACAGGGTTAGTTCAGGAGAAAAGGCCACCAGTGACCAATACCATTCACTCAGGTGGCTGGGATTTGTGCAGTCACAAAGTTAAAACTGACTCCAAAATACGAATCCCAGTGATAACAGTGTGTTCTAAGAAAGGTCCATTTCTAGGACCCTCTCATAGCAAACTGTCAGCGATAGGGACCTCCACAAAAAGATCCTGCTAAAGAGAAACCTCTTCCTGCTAATTAAGGGACAAGCAAATTCCAAAGCTGCAGATGAAGAGGTAAAGAAAGGAAGGAACCAGTCTTGGAGAATCAAAAAGCTCTGTTGTAGAAAGGAACGTATGGGTCTAGTTAGGCAGTTTGTCTCTGCAGATATGCTTGATAAAACCACCAGTGCTAGCACCATCACAGTTCCCTTTGGTTTTAAATAGTGTGAAATAAAGCAGTATATTTTTTTCTCTGGAAATACTGCTACTATAGATTTGCAAACCAATATGGGAATTGTACTCTTGGCAAAGACAAAAAATAGATGCTTGTCAAATATTGGCTCCAGAAAAGGGAAAACATATTTTTAGAAATCTCTTCAATTAGAAGGTAGAATTTGGGATTAGATATGTTAAGGCACAGACTGAATGTACTAGGACTGTAAAAGCCTCTGCCCTTCAAGTTCCTAAAGACCTATGCATGCTTTACATGCAAAATACATCCCTGAGATTAGGCCTATAATCCCTCATTTTTGGAGCAGAGATAATATATAGAACTGTTAGGGTATGATGAAATGATATTTCAATCATACTTTGCAGTGCTGTAAATGGTTGTAAAAGGACTACAGTGGATGCAAGCATGGCTGAGGTAAGATAAGCCTGAACAGATATATGAAAAAGCCACCTGTATAGGGAATTCATACTGATTTTAGTGTTAGTGAGCTGAATGTATTATAATCCACGTTCTAACCTTCATAAGTAAATATATATAGAACACAGCCTACAAATATATAGATTTTAATGATGTCTATGACTTTCTAGATAACTTTAAATGCACCTTGAAAGATTCCGTTTCAAACATGCTAAATCCAAACTCTTTTAAAATTCTGTTTGATCCAATCATACCCATAGACTTCTATTGAACTGTTAGACCTGTATTAGCCTGACGACTTTCATGCTTCAAAAATGTAACTCTTTTATGAGGAATGTGGGCTAAGTTTGCTCACATCTAGAAAAAAAACATGCAGATGAAAGAGCAAGTAAAATCACATAACGTATCACGGATCATTCCCTCAATGACTATTAGTTGTTTTTCTCCTGTTTGCCAGTCATTCAGGAACACTCCCTGTCTGTCTGCAATTCTGGGGGTTTACTGTGTGATTTATATGGACACATGCAGGTAGTCTTCCAGGAGAGCACTTCAGCATTATTCACTGTGTACTATTACTGGTAATCAACACGTCACTTAGGCAATATGGATTTGTTTGTTCTATATGGTTGTGCAACAACAACGTTGAAGTAATGAATGATGAACATACTTCCTATATGAAGTTTCAGATGAATGATTATTCATGGTAACTACCATAAGACTTTCAAGATTTACTTATGTTTTCCATGAATATGCTTATAGTCATCCAAACAATAAATTTAATAACCAAAAGAACAAAGAACTGGAGGACTAGAGATCCAGCTCCAATAACAACAGTTTCTGTGACTGCTGGTCAAATATGTGTTGTGACTCAGTTTCCCTGTCAATGTACTGAGAGTGTTTGTTTGCTTCAGCAAATAATGGGAAAAAAATAACTTCTCTGATAAAGTTGGCCTTTTGCTTGTGAAATATCTGTCATCTGTTTTCAGTTTACTCATGCTATTAAAATTCTTTTTTCTGGATTTTTTTTTTTTTTTTTTTGGTAACTGTGGAAAGAACACAACACGGCCTTTAGAAGGCTTTGTGGTCAAAGGTGTTGTATAACCACCACTTATTTATTATGAAATGAATGCACTCTTGTTCAAGTGAATTCCAGCATGAATATCAGATGACAGGACTGAGAGGAATCTTGTTTATTCTATAGACCAGAGTAGTATTTGTCTTAATAAAATGATAACATTATTCATTTATCTTCAGAGAACTGAGCTGATATGTCTCTTAGTTAAGCATTAAGGCCAGATTTTTCAACCTTGATTCACCTTGCCAACTATTTATTCCTGTGAGCAGTCCTACATAAAGTTCAGATCATACAGTGTGTGAAAGAAAAGAAGAAACAACTTATATCTTAGCCTCGATTCTGGGCAGCCCTGAGTCTAGCAATGACATTAACTGGGAATATAACTGAAATAATCTAGTTGGTAATGTTCTTACATTGGAAATATGGTAACATTAGCCAAAAGAAAAAACAATTAGGTTTAATTAAACTAAGATATGAGAAAGAAAAAAGACCATGGGGGTTCTTCCTGTTGAAAATAAAATGTTTCAGAGTGATCCTAGCAGAAGTTGACATAGCAATAGCTTGAAGCAAAGGATAGATAAATTGTTAAAATAATCTTCTATTTAGAAAACTAGAGAAAATAAGAAAGTAATAACACTGGAGTTGGGCTTCAGAATAGGCTACAGAACCTTCTTCACTGATCAAGCATCTTTTCTCTGTGGGACAAGAAAAGATCAGAAAGAAACACACTATCATGTGTATAATAAAATGTACTTTAATTAAAGTGTTTTCTGCCAATATTGCTTGTGCAAGACCTTTGTGGAATACTGTACCCATAGTGCTTAAATGAATGAGTTTCATTCAGCAAATACTGAACATGATATGGGTCCAAGGTCTGTGACAATCACCACAACAGTTAAGAAATTACATTTCTCATTAAGTCATGGCATACACATCACAAAGACATGTCATATATGATATTCAAAATGCGTGTTTCAGCCTACCTCCAAGAGGCCATGTCTGGGCTGGTGCTTGGGCCAAGACGTAAGACTAGCTAGACCATCAAGGTCTAGCTCATGTAGCAGATCCACATTCAATCTACATCTGAAGTGTTTTTTCCACTGCAAACAAACTCACCCTTAGCACTGTTTGTTACTGAATTCACAATAATAACCACAGCTGCCAGGTGCTCCTACCCTCAAAGCATCAAATTCAAATAAGGTAGACAAGAAATATTTCAAACCAGAAAGCAAAGCAATCAGGAAGAAAGCTTGCATGATCTTCAGTAGGGCCATGTTTATTTTTGGATTTTAAAATTTGGTACATGAAAGTCTCAACTCTGTCTCCTACGCACACATGCAACATATAGTTCCAGTTTCACATTATGGAAACACCACTCTGATAGCCTGCAGGATTATCCCCACATTTTTTTTTTTCCCCAACTGAAAAAGCCCCCAAACAAAGCAATTATTTTTCTTTGAAATTATTTTACAATTATTTGTCCCCCACAGGAGCTCCACCAAAGCAGCCCTATTTTATTTAGCATTACAGATGTAGCTAAAATTTCTCTACCCCCTATGCTGAAATGAATACACCAAACATTGAGTACCACAGTAATAAACATTATATCTACACGATTTATAACATTATTGCAAATCATTCTTTGAGGAATATTTGCATGCTGCTGCTACCCCCTGCATGAAGCGCTTAGCCCCCATAGGCAAGATTGACTCAGTATTTACAGCACTTCACCTCACGCTGTGGCTTATGATTTTTGATTCTGGAGGTTCCAGCTTCAGTTCTTCACATCTTGGACAACAGGCGACTGCTGTGTTGTAAATCCACCTGGAAAGTTATGACCATGCAGTGACATGATCATGACTGCAACTATAATTCTAACACAGAATACTGTTAGCAAGCTTCCTTTCCTTCACTGCTGCATTTTTAATGCCTGAGCTAACTAAGATTATTCGAATTGCTTCAACCATTTAAAATATTTATGCTGCTACGGAAGTCTTAAGGTCATAAAGAAATTGCTACTAATAGAAGCAATGTATTACTGGAGTCAGTGTTTGTGTTTCTTAACTTTTTCCTGATACATGACTCACCCTACTCAGTTATTTAGAAGTGAATAATTTTTAAAAGGACTGTCTTCCTCACCGAAAAGAGTTTGCGTAGGTACAATCACAGTAAAACAGATTCGAGAAATTGAATTGAGGGAATGAAACAAAAAGGAAAGTATAAAAACTGATCCCTGTATTATTATTTTTAGGCATTCAGTATTGCATTATATGATCTGCCAAAGAAAGCCAGGGAAAAGGCAGCAAATGCAAGAATCTACATTTAAAATACATTGAAGACCTGGCCTGGAAAACTGGTTTATAAAATATCCAAGGCCAGAAACATCTCCACACTTACAATTGGGAACATCTGTTCAGAAGCTACCGTTTGCTCTGATGCATGGGTTTGGAGAGGAAAGCAGGGGAGTTCTGCCTCCTGGGGCAGACCTGTATTTCCTAGTGCTCTCCCAGCTTTGAACTGGATCAAACTTAAATCCCAGACAGTAACAGGCAAGCAGAAACCTGGAGGTGTACAGGCTCCAGATCTGGATCTCTTATTTGCATTTTGTACAGGTTTCTGACCCCAGGGAAAAACTGGAGAGTAATAGTAGCTTTAGATCTGAATAACACTGCAGGTTAAATTTTCATAACAAATGTTTCTGATGCATTTCAGGGTATTTAATCTCAGTTCCCTACCTCAGATCTCTTCTTCTGGCCCCCCAAGCTCATCAAGAAGGGGAGGGCACTGTCACCCCTGCTCTGCACCCCACCGGCAGACACCATGGTGCCAGGCAAACAGGAGGAGGAAATACATCTTGCGATCAGAGGAGACACGGTTCAGTGGAGTCCTAAAAGCTGTGTGTGAGTAGAAGCAGCTGCAGCGCGGGGAAGCACAGGCAGCGAACAGCTGGGAAGCAGGAGCTGCTGGCAGGTCAGACATTGCCCCAACAGGACGTTTCTCAAGGGCAGCCAACCATCAAGTCATAGCTGTGCCTGCATGCTTGCAAGGAGGAGGGGGTTCACACGTTGGGGTACCCTTTTACAAAGGTATCTTCATGCGCCTACACAAGATACTGCATCTGGATAAGACATTACTTTTTATGCCTGCATTTCCACAGATGGAACTACCATTTATGGTAGTTCTGTGTTCGTGAGCTAGAAGGGATTTGGCAATCCTGTGCAGGCCTCTAGCCTTGTGCCTGGAGGAAGGTGGAGTGTGCATTTTGTAGAACAGTCTGTTGCAGTAGTAAGGGTGGTAACAGAGTGAGATTTCTAGACCTCGAGCTAACAGAGAAACAGGTAACACCCAGAAGTAACAGGGTTCTCTACAGCATGTAAACTGTGTCTAACTCTTGAATTGTTGCGCTATGTCCCCTGTGGTGGGGCTGCACTGCATCACTGGCAGTGACACTGTACTGGTACTGTTGGCACCATGATTCCCCATCTGCAGGAGAAATTAATCAGCAAGAACTGCTGAGTCCAGAGCATACAATGCAATGCATCCACAAAGGCACGTTGGGAAGCCACTGTCACCTCCCATCTGTGAGCGCTTCCCTATTCTTTTGGGTCTCTGAAATAAGCAGCTCATGGCTTCCAGCCTCCATGTTCTGTAAGAGAAGTCCCGCCCGAGTACAAGAAGAAAATATTAGATGTCATGTCCTGGGAAATGCCAATCTGCATTACCAATGAGATACTCAAAATCCATGCCAGATCTTAACAGCTGTGTGCCCAGAGGAGCCGTGAGGATCCGTGGCCATGGCTGTCATCACAAAAAATCATATGGCAAGCATCTGTGGGGTTTTTTTTGTGACTGACTGCCCTGTCCCACATGTAACCAGGATCACACAGAAAAGGGTGTCCTGGTATGTGAGTCTCTTACCTCTGGAGCACAGGCCCTAGCTGGTTGACAGAAAGCAGCTCTGCTGATGGTAACCAGGGTCAGTGACAGCAGAGTTAACACTCAAGGAGAGGGACTCCTTTGCCGTGAATGCTCCCCCTGACCGGCCTGTGGCATGTTCCCAGCAGCACGGGAGATTTTTTGCAGGTATCTGCAAGGCTGTGACCAAGTTGGTTGTCCATCTGAGCATCTCTAGCACTTGACAACACTGCTCATGGTCTCAGCAGTGATCTTCTGCAAAGCTTGTCCACATACATTTAAATGTTCCTGGACTCTGTACATATAGCTGCATGTGAGCTACTGCTGATCCTGCTACAAAGCACTTCAAAGGCAGTTTATTCAGAGCAGGTTAAACATTTGGACAAAGGATGCATAGTCTAATTTCCCTCTTTCCCTGCTACCATCATCTCATTTTAAGCCTCTGTTAATTTCATTTGGAGCAACCTACTTCCATCTTAAACACTTTTTGAAAACCAAACAGAAACCCCCCTTCATGTTAGCTGGATTGTTTCTGTAAATGTAACTTTTGGTATTAGCCTTAAAATTTTACTCTAAATTTGTTTGCAGCTGTCTGAATGCTGTCTTTTCTGCAATTCATGTTATATGCTCTATCCTATCATTTAATTTCAAGATACATTTTGTGTGTGACACATTTACTAAACAGATCTGTATTATATCTAAATCTGCCTAGGATCAAAGGCAAAAGAACCACAGTGCCTTTTAGTTAAAAAATCATCTGGCTTACCCAGCAGAGATATTTGTAGTCTCTTTTTAAAAATTCACTCTTTGTGTTTGTTTTTTTTACATGGTATCTTGAAATAAAATGTCGTAATTTGTCTGTGCATCATAGCCCATCAATACAAATCAATTTCTAGCCATAGATCTTGAAACTGAAATCAAAGTCCTAAAAGATTTTGGAGCACTTAGAATATTCAAAGCATTTGAGTGGATTTCCATTATCATTTGTTATTAATGAATGTTTATTTTTACTGGAGAAATAGAGTAACTTCTGACTATGGTGGTATAGTAAACTTTGTTAATTACAAAAAGTAGCACAACTATTTTTCAAGCAGAGGCTGAAGAATGCAAAATATGGTGGTGCTTTGTTCATTCTTTTTCAGAATCAAAATAAAATTGTAAAAATTTTTATTCTACAATATGTAACTTCCACTTATGGATTTAAAATAGTCATATCACAGACACTGTCCCTCAGTGCAGACAATATTTCAGCATTTGAAATCTGTTTCCTATGAAAGCTTCCAAATCTCAAAAATGTGGTACATCAGCTGAAACTGTCAATATTGGTGACATTTTAGATAGTCTGACATGAGGCATTTGCCGTGCTATAAACAACTTATCAATGGTGGCCTGTTAGGCTCTGCCTAGTTTTATTTAATAATGGAAGACAGCATGGAAATAATTTAAGGTATCAGAAAACATCCCTGGATTTTAAAACTCTGTAGTATAAGAGACAGTTCATAGTATAATTCTTCCCCCGTGGCACTGTTCTTTTTAATGAATGTGTGTGTGATGCAACCCGTCAGGTCAATGAACTCCAGCCTGGCTTGAAATGTTTGCGCTGCTGGAACCAAAAGGACTGTATGCCCACAGGTGATCTCAGAGGGGTTAGCGCTGCAGCGATCCAACGTACCCAGCCCTGGAAATAAAACACATTAACCGGGTCTGACTGTGCTTCCTTCCTTGCCTTGTAGCATATACAATATTTATGATTAAGCTTTGTAAATGAAAATCAGAGCAGCTTCTGTGCTCATTCGAGCTGCACAGTCTTATTCAGGGTGATTCATTCATTGAGTCAGGCAGCCATGCATGCAGTCATTCATAAGTAATGCCACGCTTCCCTTCAGCATGCAACAATGATTTACCTCCCTACTGCCTTTCAATGTTTGTTCAGCAAACACGCTAAGGTAGAGAGTTCCTATTTCAAGCTTTACCCTTATTTTTAAAGAAACAGTGTTATCTAAATGCATGCCTACATGTTGCTGTACAGAGAACCTAGCACAGACGTTGCTGCAACTGATAGCATCCCTCCCAAAATATTTTTTTTTTCTTTACATGGCATCAATGAAAAGAGGCTTGTACTTCCTTACAAACAAGATTTCAGCTCCTTTTACATTCGTGCCTTGCCACAAGACTCATTTTTACACTCACCAGGACTGATGAGGACTGGTGAATGTAAAGAGGACTAGTCGCTCACCCTAGCCTTGTGCAATAAGACCTGGAGCACCAGGATTTGGTTTTCTGTTATCAGCAATTTTTTGCTAATTTCAGCAACTAACAGGAAATAAGAACATACAGAAAATCACAGACCGAGGAAGAGCTTTTGACCTGTGTATTTTTATGGAGCTATGAAGATCTGGCCAGAGCTGTAGATTAGGCAATAATATGTGCTTGACCTTTGTAAAATCAGAGAATATGGGATTGGCCTCATTCGACTTTACATGACTGAAAGCGAAGCATTTAGTCTAAGCTAATCATTTTAGTAACCTCCCCACTTACAGACAGGGTGGGAGAGAAAGTTTACATGGAATGAAAGCACTATGTGACACTGCCTGTCTGATCCCCAAGTCTTCCGGCACCAGATTATTTCTGTTTATAGTGAAATTACAAGGTCAATGCAAGTAAATACCAACAAATACACAGCTCACAGCAATCATCACAACTAACAATATCCAGAGGGCAGACCCACTTTGGGTGAAGCAAAGCGTTATGAAGCATGGATGCCTCCTCCCTGTTTTGGGAGGAGAAGAGATTTGTTTTCCTCATTTCTAAATAGACTTCTGAGCTGAGCACAATCCAGTTGGGAAAGCTGTCCTTAATATTTTATTTCATGTAAATCCACAGTAAAAAAGGAACTGAAAGTTAAAAAGATTTCTGTGTGTGACATCTTCATACATCCAAAACATCTGGGGTATCACAATTAGAAACCCTTTGT